ATCAGCTGTCCACAAATACTGTCATTCACTAAATCAGGGGCCATGGAGGATAAGCGTGTGTGTGTGTGTCTGTGAAAGAGAAAGAAGCTCTCATTCAAGTCATGGAGGAACCGAGTGTGTATGTGTCCCATAGAGAAGCTCTTCAGAGTGTATTTTCAGCTCTGGCTCTTCTGCAGAACTCAGAAGAGAGAGCTCATGATTTTTTGTTTTTGTTTTATTTAATTGAATGTCCTGTTTTAATCTAAAATGTCAAATTAAATTTTTTCACTTTTATTTTAAAACTTGGAACTGGAGCCCATAGTTGTTCTATAAGCTATCATTTAGCTTAATTTTGATTTAATTTCAGCTTAATTTCAGGCTGATCCAGGAGCGCTTTCTTTGTAACTTAAAGGGATAGTCCACCCAAAAATCATTTACTCACCCATGTCATTCCAATTCTGTATGATTGACAACTGCGGAACATCCAAGAAGTTATTTTGTTGAAACGTTGGGAACCAAACAACATCCATCCTATTTTACATATGGTTCCTTGAATACAGCACTTCACTATGCTGATGTAGTATACTGTAATGTCACTTAAAATCTGTCAGGAAAAAAAGCCACAAGAAACATGTCCTTGAGAAACAGCAGTGACCCTGCAACAGATCTCACACACTCACTGCTGCAGAGAGAAAGAGAGAGAGGAGACCGTGTCCTTCTGGGAACCAGAAAGAGGTCATTCAGTGTCTGAGTGTGTCCTCGCTCATGCGGTTGAATTCTCCCTCAGAGTTACTGCTCTAAAACACCAGCAGGTGTGCAAGCAGATCGGTGGGAAAGTTACTCATCTCTTCCGTTTCTCCAGCTCCTCCCTGGAGCCCGTCGTCTGTGATACTGCCTGTTCGAGCTGAGCTGGGAATACATCTTCATAACTCAGATCTCATTTGAATAAGTGACACAAGCAGATTCTGCACAAATAATAAGCGACCAACTCATATTAGCACAAACCTCTTCCTATATGTCCCTGAGAGAAATACCGCTCTGCTTTCAGCCTGGAAGGCCTTATGGTGACGGACTCTGATACCGGTGTTATAGGTTTTTGCTCTGAATAATGTAATTTGTGTAACATGAAGCTCACTTTATTCCTGTATCAGTGTCTTTTTACCGTGCTGTCTGTCTCTCTTTTCTCCAGGAGGATTTAGGCAGTCGTGTCGGGTTGTCACCACGGAGAAAGCAGGAGAGAAAGTAATTGCATTGTTGCAGTGCTTGTAGAAATCCCATCAGCCCTGTGGGCAGGCCTGTCACAGAGCATAAAGAGCCGGCTAAAAACTTAAGCATCCACAGACAGGGCAGCAGCAGTGGTGGTGGGCAGGGAAACGCCTCTCGCATAGAGCCAAGGTGTCACAGGAAGCAGATGAAGCTGCTGCTGGTAGTCTCAGAACAGGGCCAGCTGCCGTTTCCATTAGCTAGATCTGTGCTGATAAGAACAGGGATGCTGGTAAATACCCAGGCTGAACAACGCTGATAACCTGGGTGGATGTGCTCTTGTTTTAGGCTCTGATCTCCAGCCACTGGATTGATTTGCATCCTGAATGAGTGTCAAATACAAGCTGCCGGTGCTGATGCAAATAGACAGGTAGATAGACAGTCACATATCTGCTTCACGTCCCTGTGAGTGAACTTTCAACATCTTCACTTTTGATTGGCATGTTGGCTGGTGGGTGTGGTTATTGCACATTCAATGACAGAATAAACAGATTTATGTAGTATTTAAAGGTGTAGTGTGTCATTTCTTTTTACTAGAATCACCAGATGGAACTGCAAATAGAACAAACGTTTTCAAACAATTGCTGGATTTAGGGCTGATACTGCCGTTCAAATGTTTGGAATAATTAAGAATAGGGCTGCCACTAACGACTATTTTTATTTCGATTAATCTATCGACTAATTTATTGATTAATCGATTAATCTAAACGATTAATTTCCCACAATTTTTTCCCCCATTTTTAAAGAACATTTTATTAAACTTGCAACTTTGCCATTCAGTAGTGTATCGAAAAAAAGTATAAATGTAAACAAGCCATTGACGAAATGTAAAACTAAAAGAGTAAAAATGTAAACAAACCTAATAAAAAGAAAATAATTACAAAAGTCTGAGAAAGTCAGCATGTTCTTAATGTCAATATATCCACATGTTCTGGGCTTCTGTTTATTACAGCTGTGAGTGCAACTACAAAGGGGAAAAAATATGTTTCAGTTAACCCCAACAGTTGGGTTTTCACATTAAATAAATGCAATGTTTAGAGTCCACTAGAATCAAGTATTAAAATTTTATGATTAAAATTATTATTAAAACTTTTAAGTATTAAAAGTACTCTCAGAAATGTGTAAACAACAGATTTAAACAGACATCTCCAGCATGATGAACAGGGGTGCCAGCGGCCTGACGATTGTTTTTACACACTACTGTGCGATCTAATACTTGTTTAATATTTACCAAGCATCATTTAATTCAAATGTCCACTTAATCTTTAATATTTTCCATTTCTTTACGACAGAAATGCTATAGCCGCTGTAATTTAATGAATATGTGGACATCAAAACTTGTAAACTCAGAGTGAGGGTTTGAGCTTTTATTTTGAAATCGCGATGTATTCTCCTGAGTTTGCGTAGATTTATAAATGATTTACCTTACAGATCTGATGAAATGACGCATGTTGCGTTCCCAGATGAACGTTATAATAAACCCAAACTCACAACAACATGCAGAGATGGAGTTTGAGACGCTCCACACATGTAAATGATAACAGTTCCTGTGGAACAGCATTTACTGTGAACAGAGGCGCTGTGAGACACACGTACGTAACCTACACGCCTATAACTTCATCACATAATTATTTAATTAAATCGTAGCGTTTGTGAATTCACAGTTATGCTTAATTATCATTTTTAAGCGGGTTTAATATATCATGAGGCCTTGGAAAACAGTCTAATAATGTGTTTTATGGATTCTCGTCCGTGAAATGCGCCACTTCCGGTATTTTGCCGGTTAGTCGACACAGGCAAAATGAAGTCGAGGATTTTTAAAAATCGAATAGTCGAATAGAATCGACGAATCGCGGCAGCCCTAATTAAGAATTATATATTTTTGAAAGAAGAAAGATACTGTAAAACAATAGTATTGTAAAATATTATTACAATATAAAAGAGCTGTTTTCTATTTAAATATTTAAGAATTTTATTTATTCTTGTGATGCCAGTATTTAATATTCAGCAGCTTTACTTCAATCTTCAGTCACATGTTCCTTCAGAAATCATTCTAATATGCTGCCTTGGTGTTTTTATTTATTATTTTTTATTATTATCAGTGCTGAAAACAGTTTTTGCGGCTTCATATTTTTGTAAAAAAAACAAAAAAAACAATGGTGGTTCACAGCCATTCAAAAGTAAGAAACATTAATAATTGAACACCAATAATAATTGATAATAACTGAAGAATCATGTGACACTGAAGACCGAAGTATTGACTATAATTCCAATAAATGTATAATATTACTGTTTTTACTGCATGAAAAATGATGTAATTTATTGCAGCGACTTTTAAATTAAATTAAATTTTAAATTTCCTAAAGGTGCGTTTAGATTCTTCCTGTCTTTCTCTTTCTCTCTTAGGGTGCACTTGAGCTCATCCTCCTGTCACCTCTTCTTGTGTGCTGTAGAAATCTTTTGTATTTACCCAGCTTGGGAATTAATCAAGGTTTTAATGCTACCCTCCTTCCCACTATTCCTTAATTGATTTTAGAGGGGAAAAGGAAGGATTTTTTTGTCTGTCATTGTTTTTAAGTGTGACTGGAGCTGAAAAGCATCTGGATGTGTGTCAGAGCAGAAGTAAACATGTCAGGAGTTTAACTGAATGGAAGGCTGTGCTAATGGTGCCAAACATGTGTATGGCATCAGTGAAAAGTGATTTGTAACAGCATTATTAGCTGTGAAATCTTGGGAAGGTGCATCTGGAGAGACTGGAATCAGCACTGTGCCTCTTTTAAAGCTTTCATTAGGAGTTTGTTTACAGAGGAAGATGATGTTCAAACACAAATGTGTCATGCTGAGGTCAGACCACATGATCTTAAAACATGAAAGTATACTGAGAAAAGCCCCCAAATCAAGATGATCAAAGGCATTGTGATAGTCAAAAGAACGGAATAGACCGGTTCTTGTATTTTGTCTTCATTACGTTTTAATTGTGGGTCTTTGTAAACTGGCAGATGGACTTCTGTTGGCATTCCGTCATGTCTTGGACAACACAATAGGAAGTTTGTATAGATTTTTTTGGTTGCACTTTATTTTACAGCACACGCACTTACTTGTACTTACTGTGTACTTACTATGTACTTGCCTAAGAAAGTGAATAATACTGAATAATATAAGGTAACTACATTGGTTAGGTTTAGGGGTAGTTTCAGGGTTAGTACATAGTTATTACCCAGTTATTGTAATTACTTTAACAAATACATCGTATATACATGTGGACTAGCACTGTAAAATAAAGTGCTACCATTTTAATCAGTATGTTTTTGCAGCAGTCATTTTTTCACTCGTGTCACTTATAGTACATAAGCTCACAACTCCGCTAAAATATATCTGTATTGTTTTGGTGTCACTACAGATTTGGATAAATAATGGTGCAGGAAATACTGATACAAAGTTATTTTTACTATATTTGTTTATCTTTCTCATTCTCACCATCTGGTAAAAAAGTCTGCTCTATTTCTTGATCTATTACTTGGTATTACATAAATCATAATGTTTGTTACTGAAATGTAGGCAAATTAATAATTAGTTCTCCTCTGTATGTAATTAATTCATTTTTTATGGTAAACATGCAGATTATTTAATCACACATTTAAACAAACTAACGAATATCATGATCGGAATAGATCAATGTCAGTAATCTAGGTGTCCGCTGTGAACGTGTTTTGTTTTGCTCATATTTTTCTCTTTTCCGTTTCTCTCTTTCTCACCAGATGGTCACAAGAACAAAGAAAATATTTGTGGGTGGATTATCAGCGAGCACAGTCGTTGAAGATGTGAAACAGTATTTTGAACAGTTCGGAAAGGTAAGACCAGGACATCACTCCCTACTGATATTCCAGTATGAACATCTTCAGATTTCCATGCCTAGGCAAACACAGACTCGCTCATGTCTGCTCCGGATGTGTTTGTTACAGTGCAATGTTGGAAATGAGGGCACAGGTGTGTGAAGGCGGTGTGGCTGATTCAGGAATCTGTTGTTGGTGTTTTCAGTGATGTTGAAACTTACAGGCTGTAGAATGAAGTATTTATATCCAGACATTTACTGCCAAGTAGCTGACATTGATTAAAACCTGCCTGGGAGCGGGGCTAGGATGGTTGTGGGTTGAGTTTGAGTGTGCGGCTATGGCTAGGAGCAAACTGAAATGAGTAGGGGTGTAATTTGAGTGCATGGCTAAGGCTAGGATTGGATGGAGTTTGGGCTGGGAGTGGGTGGGGTTTGAATTGTAGGTGTGGCTAGATTGTCGTGGTTAGACATCAGAATGGAGTTGGACTGTATTTTTATATGGATATTGTTGTCATAGTTATGGAAATTTCAACTCTGAATGAAAGACTGCAGGCTGTTAATATTACCTGTCTGCTTATATGAAAAAAAAAATGAATCTGAGTGTAAATATTCACCACAACAGCCGCAATCATCATGGTTGAGCAGGACTTGATTGACTTGATTATATGAGACAAGCTTTTTTACCTTCTCGTGGAAGATTTTAAGAGCACACACAAATCAGTGTGATTGAACATGTCATCTGAAATAAGAGCCCTTCTCTTTCTCTCTTTCTGTTCTCCCAGCTCTCTCCATTTTCCACAGGCTGGGAAAAGGCTCTCTTTCAGGCTCTCTTTCTCAGGTGGATTTCTATGTTTATTAAATAAACTGGCCCTCCGCTGTACACTGCCATTATCTCTGTGTATAGCCTGTGTTATACTTTCCGCATGAGCAATCCGGACGCGTACACGGACAGCGCAGACGTGGACTGCTTGTATTTATACTACCGAAAGCATACGCTGATGGTCCGCTCCGCGGACGTGCTCCATACATGCGCAGTAGATCGGCTTGAACAGTAAACAAACATGTGAACAAACAATTGCCCACAGTTATTGCACATCTGGCTGTCTTTATCTTGTTTTATCGACGGATTGTACAGGTTCGAGTAGCAACGGGCTTATTCACACAGCCTGCGCATGCGCAGTTGGTACTTTTGTAGCCTACTGACCGCACGGTCACAAAAAATGGGAGGCACGTGGATGTCCGCGCACACTCTCCGATAACGATTTTTACGATTTTTACCCTAGCGGACACTAGTGGACTCGCGCACGCGGAAAGTATAACACGGGTTTATCTGTGCAGCACTGAGACTTCCGCAGACAGGAACCCGGTACTTAGTGTTTAGAGAGAGAGAGAGACAGCGGTCAGGCAATTCACATGTCTCAATTGGACATGTTTGGAATTTCTTAGTGGACTTAAATGCCATTACTCTTGTGTGTGTGTTTAAGTTCAGTTGTCTCTGCATGAATGTGGTTTATGTGCTTCAGTGATCAGGGTGAGTTTGTGTATGTTTCTAATTTTGTGTGAGTGTGTGTTTTAGGTAGTTGTGGCAGTTGGTTAAGAGCTGAAAGGAGGAAACAGGTGGTGATTTCAGTTTTCTTACCTCTTTCAGGGAAAACACTACAGAATAAAGGTTTCAGTGTTGCATTGGCTAAACAAATCATACCATGGAGAACAACTTCTGCCTTCTGCCCTTTACAGACTCTTTCTAATTTACATCAAACGAAAGAAATATTTCACTCAAATATTTTGAATTTTCTGAAAATCAATTACCCTCATGCCATCCAAGATGTATATTTGGAGAAATTTTGCATTACATCCCCCACCATTGGATCCTCTGCAGTGAATGGGTGTCGTCAGAATAGTCCAAACAGCTGATAAAAACATCACAATAAACAACAAGTAATCCACATGATCCTCCAGTCCAATTAACATCTTGTGAAATGAAAAGCTGCTTGTTTGTAAGAACAAATCCATCTCTTGTGTGTTGTGCGCACAAGCAAATCAGTTGTTGGCTGCAGTGAATTTAATGTCCACAGGTGTCGCTAATAACAAGCGTTTCTGAATTCTCTATATAGCCTCTTTAAATTTAGTGTCTGTTCTGGTTAATTAGTCTGCACTTTTTGGTTTTAATGCTGGTTGTCCATTGTAATGGAAGGATAGAAGCGGAGCAGACACTGAGCACAAACACTGATGTACTTCAAGCAGGTGTGTGCTAGGGGTGTGAATCACCAGAGGCCTCACGAAACGATACGATATTATCACGATACTTGTCACGGTACAATATTATTGCGATTTTAAATATATTGCGATATTCTGCGATATATTGCAATTTATTACCTTTTTCCAACTTCAAATTATGTCCTCAAAGGAAAACTTTGGCAACATCTGTTTTAACTAAAAAGAAACATTTCTCAGTTATCTCACTTCAATTTTATTGCTGCAGTGCAAAATGCGATTGTCAAGCAGACAAACTGACCAACACTTTCATGAAAACCTGTCATAAATGTTGTATGCACCTGGCAAACTCAACTATTTGTATTATAGTCTAGTCTAGTCAACCTTAATTAAATGATTATTTATTATTTTATTAAATAATATAAAGTAATTTTGTAAGACTTTTTAAATTTAGCTCAATTTTAATGATACTGAATTAAAAAAAACACAAGCCAATAAAATAACCACACTTTTACTGAAAGTAACACAATAAAACTGGACAGAATTTGCATATATTAATATTGGTAACACTTTACAATAAGGTTCATTAGTTAACATTAGTTAACTACTTTAGTTAACAAACTAAGAATGAACAATAGTTCTTCAGCATTTATTAATCTTAGTTCATGTTAATTTCAATGTTTACTAATGCATTATTAAAATCAACAGTTGTGCTGGTTAACAGTTAATGCACTCTGAATTAAAATGAACTAACAGTGAACAACTGTATTCTCATTACCTAACATTAAGAAAGATTAATAAATACTGTAATAAATGTATTGTTAATTGTTCGTTCATGTTAGTTAATACATTAATATTAACTAATGTAACCTTATTGTAAAGTGTTACCCTTGTTTTCTGAGAAATGTATCAAAATTGTGTTAGTTTTTGCCTAAAACAAGAAAAAATATCTGCCTATGGGGTAAACATATAATCTTGTTTTGCCTTTGAATTAAAATTTGATTTCTTACCCCACTGGCAGATATTTTTTGAAAATGACAATATCTTGTCATTTTGCTTGTCAAGTACATGCATCTGGATTCAAGATTGTTTAGATATTTATACTAGGCACGGCGCATCATATATATATTATTATTATTATTATTATATGTAGCCTATATTTTCGGCTCGCATTTTCTGCCGTTTTCCTCTTTGGCATTTTGGCATTTTCGGTTTTCGGCCGACAATTTTCGGCTGCCGAAAATTTTCGGCTGCCGAAAATTCGGTGCATCCGTACTTGCATCCCCTCCTTGTTTACAAATCCGAAGTAAGTCCATACATCCGATTTAAATGCGGATGGGG